CCCCAGAGTGCAGCCCCACCCATCTGCAAGGGGCCCCCAAAGGGGTCCCTTCACAAAGCAGCCCCTTCAAACCCTTGTCAGATAGAAAACTGGGGGACATGACCCTTGGATGCTTTTAGTACAGAGATACAAGCTTTTCTTGAATAATGGAGGGGCTCACTTTTTTATTATTAATATTTACAGTTATCCATTTGGGGACAGGATGTCCTACAGGCTAATGTGGTGTCACATCTGGAGTGAAAAGTACTTTTCAAAGAAACCCAGGGTGCATGGGTGATGCAGAGGAAGCTGCCAATCACCCAATGTGAAGCTCAACACTGCTTGCACCAGCACTGCCCTTTCACACACATCTTTGGCAAAGACAAAGATGTCAGGCTTTAGTTTCTAAATCAGTAACATTTGACAAGACCTCTTTATGAACTGACAGCAAGAGAACTTAGGAGCAGCTTAGGGTTGGCAAGTGTAGGAGCCCAGAAGAGAAGGGGCTCATGGGTATGTCGTGAACACTGACAGCTGGATGGTCCTGGAGCTGACCAAGGACTGCTGGTAAAATAGAAAGAACATGTGACTGGGGAAGGGGCCACGTGGACTATGGCAGCACTTTTCCCAGGCACACCTCCTTGTTCCAGTTCCAACAGACACAAAAAACAAGTGACAGCATCAGCACAGAAGCTCCTCTTTGCCTTGCCTTGCCTTGCCAGACACAAAAGACATCACCTGCTGGACTCTGCCCAAACACCAGCCCCCTCCTCTCCCTTCTCAACCACTCAACCACAGCCTGCACACACCCACACCTGCCAGGGCCAACTGGCTGTTTCTCTTCTCCTTTCCGCCTGGGGGCAAAGGAAGAAGGACAGGGAGGGCATTTGCCTTCGGGCCAGAGGGAAGGGGAAAGAGATCCCCCCAAATCCATCCCTGGCAGGATGGGGGCAGGGGGGGACATTGGGGGACCCCCAAGAGTATTTTCGAGGGGGGGAAAGGATGGGGGCACCCACAGGGGGTTGGTGGGGGGGAGGGACCCAGGAATCTCGTGGTGGGACACTGGGGGGTTCCCAGTAGTTTCTTGGGGGGGTTGACCCCCAGCAGTCCGGGGTGGAAAAATGGACAGACGAATCCGCCGTAAAGGCTTGGGGAGACCCAAAAGATTCT